CAGGAGTTCTGAGGGCTTCTGTTAATGACATAAACTGAAGAGAAACATCTTTTTTGTGTACTAAAAAGCCACATTAGTTATAGTGAGATGCATAAGCCACGTACTAAACACCTCCATATTCTTGCACACCCAAGCTGAAAAGGAATCAGCCCTCTAACAAATGGCTTCAAGCTTCTTCCAAAAGGTACACATTCATGTATTATTTCACTGAATAAAACAAAGGGATCAGAAGAACATTCCTTTTAAGCATTATGAGAAATCTGAATTATTTTCAGTAGTGAAAAATACAAGCATGTGTATGACCCTGGGGGTGTTCAAGGAAAGGCTGGATGTTGTGTTGAGGGACATGGTTTAGTGGGAGCTATTGGTGATAGGTGAACAGTTGGACTGGATGATCTTTCAGGTCTTTTCCAACCTTGGTGATTCTATGATTCTATGAAATATCCTCCTTTTAAAAACCATACTGCCTTTCACAGTTTGTAAATCCCCAGAGATATATAGCCCGGTGATGAGTAGTTTTGAAAACAGAGGCATGAAAAACTCAATATTTAGTTGGAAATCCATTTTTTATTTTCTTACATCTATTGAATATTCAGGGACAAGTTGAGCTGATTTTGTCTGTGTTGATTCTGTATGAAACTCGATGATGTGCACAGAGAAAAGCGCACAATTTTATGCCATGCAAAACTTCAAAATAACAATAAAAGAGTAACTGCCATGCAGGATTAAATGTAAGGCAATCTAGTTCAGCACTGTGTCTCTGAGACACAGTGTCTTTTTTTTTTTTTTTTTTTTTTTTTTTTTACAGTTTGTGAACAAATCTCTGCATCTGAAAAATCGAGCAGAGTGATTAGCTGGATCACATGGTTCAGGCATAACACTGGCAATCAGATTTCCTGTGTGAAAACTGTGAATCCAATTTTCACTCAGTGACTGTTCTTTATAATGGGCTTTGTGTCTGCCAGCAACCCGACGCGTCAGAATATTCTTAAAATGGTAACATTTCTGAATGTTTCAAAGAAGCTGTGTGTGAGTACCAAAAACTTAGCGACTTTTCATGCCACAGTTACCAGAGCTCTCCTAAAGATTTTTTTTCCCCAAAATACCTATTTAGGACTTTTAATATTTCAAGAAGATTCAACATTAACTCCTTCTAATGAAGACAGAGGATTCCACCAGCAGCACAGCTGAGCATGAAATGCAGATTTAATATGAAATAATTAAAAGCAATAATTTTCATGGTGTATTTTTTACATCCTCATGGAAAATATCTGGTCCATAATCTGTGTATTGTCAGAAATTGTATTTTAATACAACACACTCATTCTTTTAGCAGGTTTTCAGCACCTCAGAGAATACCAGTAGACTTGCAGTCCTTCAAAATACAGCTTTTTCAGAGAGCTAGTTATAGTAAGAAAAGTTTTTGACAGTGTCTGCAAAAATTCCTGTTACTGTGCAGTACTGTAGTAATAATCCAATTCCTCAGTTTCTTAAGGAATCCTATGTACACAACTGTGGCTAAAACATGAAAAAAATCTAGTGTCTGGCTTAATGGTGTGTATAAACTATCACTTTCGCTACTATCTGCTTGAGACAATATTGGTTTTTCAGCCACTAGGTAATTTTTCAGACTCACAAACACCAACAGAACAGGATGTTGAACAAAGCCATAAACAATCTTAAAGATACTTTGATTAAAAGTTAAGTTGGTAGAGAAATCTTCAAAGTTTCAAATCATCACCCATTTTGTTACCAGAAAAGATCAGCACTGTACTCCATGTTAAGCTGATCATACATCACGTACATTTGGCCAAGCCCCTAACCTCATCAAAACAAGTTCATAATCTGTGATCCAATTAATACAAAGACAGAATTCTGTCTGTGGAGGAGAAATATTCACTGTATACTGTTCCCTTGCTTCTTAGAAATAAGAATTATGATAACTGAAGAAAATGAATAAATGAAACTAATCTGATCAGCAAATGGTTCGTAACTATGTAACTCCATTGAAGGATCTGATCTCTGCCTACAGACTAATATTTTTTTAGCACCTTGACTGATAAGCAAGTACTTCGATGAGACTTCCTTGACTGACAGATGCATAATACCCAAAAGCTACTGCCTCAGGTGATCTTTGTGATAGAAGACCAGGGTATGAATGTATGCAACATAGAAAATCAGAAGATGGAGAAAACAGTTTATTCAATAAAAATGCAGATTAGATGATCCAGAAGAACTTGACTTCATTACTTTAATGAAAGAAAGCAATCAGTTTTTTTTAAAGATGGGCTTGGAAACCTCACTGAAATATATTGTTTTTTATTTCAGGAGAAGTGATTAATGGTACTTAGAGAAACAAAGACTATCTAACAAATGAAATTAAATTTGTTATTTAAGCCATAATGATTTTTTTTTTTCTCAGATTTTTCATATTGATGAGTAAATCAGTTATTATTCTAAATCAATCTAAGCCTTACAATGTCATTATAATTTATGTCTGAAAGGAAAGCAACATGACAAACTCATCAGGATGCACCTCCACATAAGAAAGATAAGAATAGTGTTATCAATAGCTGTTTTTGTTTTGTTTTGTTTTTTTAATAGACCTGCTATAGGTGTACAATCAGTGAATATTAAGGTGTTATAACTACAAAATAAACAAGAGACTTAAGCAAAACAAAATATGATAACAAAAAAAAAGAAAAAGAAAGCTTACCTGTATCCTGGGCTCACAAAACCCCAGCAGAGCGGATCTCCAGAAGAGATCCATCCCCAGTGGTAGCCAGCTCTTAAATAGGTCTAGGAGTGGTGGAGCCAGGCTCCACCCCTTCCAGCAGCACAGGTGAATTGCCTTCACCTGTGCTCTTCTGGCTGACTCATTGCTCCCCTCAGGTGATCAATCAGAGGTTCAGGCTGTGACTCAGCAGTTCCCATACATATAGGATCAGATTTATTAATTATCAGTAATGTTAGCATATTTTGAACCAAATATAAAAATATTTTCAAGCATAAGTAAGGGAACTTGGAGGAGAAACTAACTAGACCATGTGGAAGATCAAGAAGAAGAGGGCCCAGATTTTGGAACTGAAAGATGCAAATTTAGCTCCTTGATCATTTGTCCCATGTTACCAGTCTTTTACTATGTAATGCTCTGGAGAAGTCTTTAAGATTAACATCTGAAATAACTAGATGTTTTTTATTTTCAGATTTCAGTCCCTGCTTGTAATACTGATTGTAGAATAATTTGCAAATATATATATATATTAATAATAATAATCTAGGAATATCATACTAGGGAAATTTAAACAGTAGCACTAGCTGAGGTGCATATCCATTTCTTAAAGGAAGTAAACATATTAGAAACACTGAATTGTCAGGAAAAGTTTCAAAGGGAAGAGATTCCTCCTAGATAAACTGAACTCAATGAAGCTTTCTGGGATAGAATGACAAGATGATAAGAAACCACCTCATCTAATATAAAGGTGAATCCAACAGTGCTGATAAAGAGGTAAAGCTACTGAACATTGTAACATGAAACAAGTGAAATATTCTCATAGGAATACCAAGGACATGTTCACTCAGTAAATTTGCAGATGACACCAAGTTTGGAGGAAGTGTTGATCTGCCTGAAGTTTGGAAATCCCTACAGAGAGATCTGGACAGGATGGATTGCTGGGCTGAATCCAATGGGATGAAGTTCAACAAGATCAAATGCCAGACCCTGCACTTCAGCTACAACAAACCCAGGTAACGCTACAGATTTGGGGCAGTGGCTGGAAGACTGTTCATAGGATAAGGACCTGGGGGAACCTTGGTTGATGTTAGGCTGAACATGAGCCAGCAATGTGCCCAGATGGCCAAAAAGGCCAACAGCATCCTGGCTTGTATCAGAAATGGTGATGCCAGCAGAAGCAGGAAGTGATCATCCCTCTGTACTCAGCCCTGATGAGGCTGTACTTCATGTACTATGTTTTGTTTTGGTCCCCTCCCTACAGGAAAGACATTGAGGCCCTGGAGTGTGTCCAGAAAAAAGCAATGAAGCTGATGAGGAGCCTGGAGCATAAGTCTTATGTGGAGCAGCTGAGGGAGCTGGGGTTGTTCACTTTGAAGAAGAGGAGGCTCATGGGAAACCTTACTGCCATTTACAGATACCTGAAAGGATATAGTGGCAACATGAGTGTTGGCTTCTTCTCCCAGGATGAGAGGGAATGACCTTAAATTACTTTAAAACTGCGTGCAAATCAGCCTAACTCCATCACCAGTTCTCTTAACAGTATAAGAGACAGCCAAAAAGAGCGTTTTCTGCCAACTGTATCTACAACATACAACAACAAACAATCAAACCAGAAATCCTCAGGTTAAAGATACACCTTAGTCTACCAACCTACTAACAATAACATTTTAAGTTGGTGATTTGCCTTTGGCATTGTGGTTTTGTACTGAAAACTAGATCACTGAAGGCAATTTCAGTCATTTCATAGTTGCATTTCATTACTTTACAGAAATATTGTTTATAAATTTTTAAAGCCACTTCCCACCAGTCACTCTACTGTTGCTGTGCCATTGCTGTGGTGTTAAAATACGACCTCTGGAGTTCTCAACGTGAAATTCTGTATGCAACACTGATATTCTGTTAGACAGAGGGAGACTGACAACACCCAGCAGAAAAAAAAAAAAAAAAAAAAAAAAAAAAAAGCTCAATTTTAAAACAGTAAATATCAACAGAAATTGCGAGGAAACTAGGACAAGAAAACAGAAGAGAATAAAAATAATCAAGCACACTTGGAAAAAAAATCGTTTTCTAGCTGAAATTTATGGAATTTGCAAAATTTCAACATATTTTTAAAATTGGAAATTGATGACAGCATTTTCAACATTTTTATAATAGATTACATACATTTTCTCCAGCAATACAGAACTTATTTTTTTTCAGAATTATTTGCTTGTCACCTGGAAAACGTTTTGACAAAAAAATGCTGTGACTATGTATATTTGCTTACCTGATCAGTTACAATCACAGCCCTGAAGAGAATTATTGAAAAAGAAATCTGTGGGAGAAAAATAAAAAGATGCTTAGTTATGACTTCTCTCCTTGATATTTTTGACAATAGATTAGAAAACACAGTATGAAAAACAAACAAACAAACAAACAAACAAAAAAACATTATTAAGACTGGAATGTGATTCATATAAATATTAGAAAATGCTAAATGTTTTGCTGACAGTGCAATTTCTGTTTCTTCAGTTACCAATACAGCATTCTTTCATAGGTACTCCATCTATCATACAAATGAATACATAAAAATTCAAGTACTGACACTTTGTATTAATTTCATTGCTTAATTTGAAGACTGAAGAGACATTGAGAAAACAGTATTCAATCCTGATTAAAAATTGCTCTATATTGCTATGTTACATACTCTCTAATAACAATTGTTTTGTGTCACAAACTTTGTGCAATTCAAATTCAGCAAATTCTTTTGGAGAGTTTGCACTGTCCTCATTTTACAGATGAGTTACTTGGTGCTGAGGGATCAAGCTGAAAAGTGAATACTTAATTTGAGTCACACGGGCCTAGTTTTTCAGAGGACTAAGCATTACACAGCACTTTATATATTGAAGGTACTGCTCACAGCAATTTCACTTGGACACATAAATACTAAACAGTTCTGAAGATTAGATGCTAAATTGAGATTACAGAAATACAGGACATACAATTGCAGACCGCCTCCAAAAAGTTTATGCAGTGTACCTCAACAGGTGAAGTCTGTAGTAAACCTGAGGACTGTATTTTATTCTCCAGGGCTTTAATCAGCTATGTAGTGAGGCTCCTTTTCGTGTCAAAAGCCTTGCTGAAGTCGTTACACAACATCTACTACTCTTCCTTCATGTATCCAGACAATCATGACATCACAGAAGGCTACTACATTGGTCAAGCATGATTTCCCATGGTGAACCCATGTTGATTATTCCTGATAAATCCTCTTTTCTTCCAGTTGCTTGGACATGGCATCCAGAATAAGTTGTTCCATCATCTTCCCAGGAATGGAGGTAAGGCTGACTTGGCATGTAGCTTCCCAGATCCTCCTTCCTGCTCTTTTTGAAGACTGGAGTGACAGTGGCTCTCCTCCAGTCCTCAGGCACCCCTCCCATTCTCCATGACCTTTCAAAGATGATAGGGAGAGGTTTGCAAATCATTTCTGCTAGCCCCCTCAGCACATGTGGGTGCATCCCATAAAGACCCATGAATCTGTGTGTGTTAAGTCTGCCCAGACAACCTCTGATTCTCCTCAACGAAGGGGAAATCTTCCTTTCTCCAGACTCTTATCTCCAGGGTTGAATTTCCTGAGGGAAAGTCTCAGCAGTAAAGACTAAGGCAAAGAAGTATTCTCAGCCTTCTCTGATACCAGGGCACCCACCTCATTCAGCAGTAGATTCACAATTTTACTAGTCTTCTTTTTGTTATTTACATACTTAAACAAGCCTTTCTTGTTGGCCATGACCTCCCTCACCAGATTTAATTCAAGTGGCCCTTAGCCTTCCTTACTGCTTCCCTGTATACCTTGACAGTGTTAATATATTCCTCCCAAGTAGACAGACCCCTTTTTCACATTCCGTAGATTTTCTTTTTTCCATTTAAGGTTTTCCATAAGCTTCTTGTTCATTCATGTAGGTCTCCTGCCACCTTTGTCTTATTTCTTACTCTGCACCAATTTTGAGCTTTGAGGAAGTGGCGCTTGAATGTCAACTTGCCCTGTTTCTTCCATGTAAGAAGATCCTGAGCTCCTACTCACAGCTACTGCATCCAAGGCTGCCCCAACATTCCCATTCCCAACCAATCCTTCTTTGTAAGAACAAGGTCCAGCACAATATCAATCCTCATTGGCTCCTCCACCATGTCAGTCAGAAAAGTTTGGCAGTGTTTCACCACTTACTGACCACAAGGAAAATGTCTGACCAGAGAAACATAATTCAGTTCTGGCCCCTGGAAATGAAATCTGCTAATGGCAAGTGACACAAGAGGACAATGAAAAAAAGACTATTGTAACACAGAAGACATCTCTTACTTTCACCTGAGAATGAAGTTTCTGGCATACTGAAGATCAATCATTACATGAGTACCTGTGCAGATGCCATGCATTTTTTATTAAAAGGGAAGCCAGGGACCATGATGGAGAGAATTCAGGGATAGACCAGCAAACAGCAACAAGGAAGGGTATGGATAAACTTCAAACTCTGTCCCATCTGCACAATTACCAGAAAACCCTAGAGTTTATGCTGCTAATAAACCCCTTTTTGGTATGTTATCATCCTCTGATGCAGTAACATTTTATCTTAAGTTAAAAGCTAAGATTGGTCAAGCAACCTTGAGCTGGAAGGATTGTATCCTCATGATACAATTTCCTTTCCACACACTAGTCTGTGGTTCTTAGGGACTTCTGTCTTGTTTTCAAAAGATTTACCACGGGACTTATCTTCTGTGTTCCTAGTCAGCTACAATCCCATTCCTGGGTTTGTACCACTGGAATCACTCAGATGTTTTAGTCGATGTAGACAATAAAAGTGTCTTTGCTCAATTCGAATGGTAAGAACATTTTTAGCAGTTTAATAGCAGAAGAGTTTGAGCAAATACAAAAACAGTGACAAGATGACTGATGATAGGATAAACTCAACAGTGATCATTTTGCTGATGTTCTACACAGAAGAATTGCAATGAACTTCACTAGAAACAAACAAACAAACAAACAGAAAACATAAACAGAACCCATTTTCTGTTTATGATCCTCCAGACTGATTAAATTTGTCCTCTGCAGTAAAAAATACAAGAAAATATCTATCTCCCCATGCTTACCAAAAGCCACAACTGCCTGAGAAAGGCTAGCATTTTGTACAGTTAACAGTTAATGCCCACATTCTTGCTGATGAACATTCATGTATGGTTTCTAGATACTATTGAAAGAGAAGTTTTGTATCTCAACTCCAGCCACACCTTAGTAACTCATGGTTACACTGCAGAACAAGGGAAATCAGAGATAGTGCTAACAATTAAGTTTGTTCAGCACTGAAGAAGAAATTCTATTTTATTGTTAGATTTTTGGTTAGCCTGTCAAGTAACATGACATGCAAGAGTTACATACCAAGAGTAAGTGGATTAATGACAGATTGGATTTGATTTGTTTATTTTGGCCAGATCTTAGAACTGAGATGGATACCCATCTCTGCTGATGCAGGCATCACTGCCAGCATTCTTCTAACAGCCTTGAGCATATGAGCCTGCTCTGGGAAAAAAAAGGCAAATTTTGCATCAGCAGCTCAACTTCCATGATACGTATTATGTCACAGCCTCATTCCAAACAGAAATTACTGCTCACCCTTCTTTTTTCTTAATTGCTAAGAAAAAAAAAAAAAAAAAAAAAAAAAAAGCAACAGCAACAAAAAACCATAGATTCCTTACTTTCTACTTAATCACAAACAAACTTATCCTCGCTAAAGGAAGAGGCATCATGAAGAGTATAAAGGGGAAGACAGACTTTTTTGCCCACAATCTAATCCACACAGGACATGAAGTGAGTTTGCTTTCCAGTCTGCAAAGTCTGCAGACAAAATAGACAAGTTCTTTTTTCCACACTGAGCATATGCAATAAAATATAAAGAGCATGAGAGTATTGGGACAACGATCATAGGTAGATTCAATTTTTTCAGTCATTTTTCAAAGAACAGAGCTGTTATTCTCTTTTTATACTTTAAGTAATTAATATTAATCCTATTTTATGCATATTCAGTTCAAGTCTTATAAACACATTTGCAAAACTATTGATTTCAATGGGAGTTAAGAGCTAAATATCTTTATATGGAGCCACAGCCTTCATCCTATTAAATCTCTAGATTTATTGTTTGCACACAAATCATTATAAAGCCAGGCATTATTCAAGGAAGCACTCAGTAGCAAGAGAAGAGCCCAATTAACTAGGAATTCAATGTAATTATGTAAGTTTGGAACTTGCCTGGGGATGTGTTTGCCTGCAAATCATTGGGGAAGGATGAAAAGGGAATCGTTTGTTTCATCTTCCTTTCCAAAGTATCATTTTCATGTTAGCTCTCCATTATTAGTTTTTAAAACCTGAAGTATTAGGACTCCTACAAAGTCACAGGGTAGGAACAGAGGTGCCATTAACTGGGTTTCTGGGGGTTCTTCTTTTGCAACACTAAATCAGTGCTGGAGTTAATCATATTAATAGCTAAAAGCAACAGACGGGAGTTCTTGTCCATAGCTCTTGGTTGTTTGCTGATAATTAAACTGACTTTTCTGACCCTAGTCTTATGGAAGTTAAAGTTAGGTCTGCAAAAATAATACAGGAATATACAGTCCAAAGCTTAAACTTCTCCCCTCCAATTATACACCCCTTTACATGAAAACAAAACAAAACAAAAACAGACAAAAGAAACAAGAGAAATAAGAACTGAGGGCCACTGATTAAGAAAAGTAAGTGATTTTTATAAGTACTGGAAACTGCTTTGCTCTCATAGATTCGAGTCTTTCTATAAATAATAGGAAAACCCTGTAAATCTTCCAACTAAGAATGTAAGGTCAATAGATAAAATAAATCTATCAGTCTACATGGCTGCCTAAGGGACACCAAAAGAGCCAAGGACATGGAGAATCACAGCTAGTAGCTTCCTGGAAGCTGCAAGGCATTTAAGGACTGCATCTATGTCATTGCGCCGTGTTTTTATGTCCATTTTAAACATAAATTTGTGATGGACTCCATACGGCTTGTTAGATCAGCAAAAGACTTGTCTGGTTTCAAACACAACAACAAATGTGTCCACTGCAGTGTCCTGCCAACCAGCCTGAAATGATTTTTAACCTTGTGTCAGCTACCCATGGCTCTCTGGTTTAGGATTAGGTGTCTGCACTCATGTGGCATTCAGATATATCATAGTACATCACTCAGAGGATGAGCAGAGGATGCCCAGTTCTGGCCATGACTGAAGCCATGCTGGAGCTGAGCACTACCAGTCCTGAGAAGACGCTGCAGCTCGCTGG